CAAAGTGTCATTGTTGTCACTCGTGCAGTCCTCACAGCCCTCCCCCAACTCTGGAGGTAGGCAGGGGCACGGGGGAGGGCCAGTGGCTGGCTCAGTTGGGAAGAAGCACCAAGAGGTGAAGTTACTCAGGGCAGGTGAAACTGAGTGTGCATGTCCCAGACAGCCCCAGCAAGCAGTGTCCTGCAGCGCCAGCTGTCACCCAGCACTGCCTGGAGCAGGTGCTCAGCTGATATGGGCTCCTGTGCCCTGGTCCCTGTGTTCATAGACAAGTGTCATGAACGCTCCTGATTGACTCCTGCAAGCAGGACTAAGGTCTCCCAGCTATGTTCCTTGGTAGCTACCCCACTGTGCTACACACCGTGACCAGCATGGGACTACCTGGGTGTCCAGATCCCCAGCCCAGGCAACCCCCAAGCAGCAAAGAAGCCCTGGGCTTTGGGGCCTCTTCCCTCAACTTTTTTTTTTTTTTGAAGATTCATTTATCTTTAATTGGAAAGGCATGTTTACAAAGAGAAGGAGAGATAATGACCTTCCATGTGTTAGTTTATTCCCCCAAATGACCACAACAGTCAGAGCTAACACAATTTAAAGCCAGGAGCTTCTCCCAAGTCTCCATACAGATATAGGGTCCCAAGGACTTGGACCATCTCCACTGCTTTCCCAGGCCACAGGCAGGGAGCTGGACTGGAAGTGGAGCAGCTGGGCCGCAAACCAGTTTCCTTATGGAATCCCAGTGCTTGCAAGGGGAGGATTAGCCAATTGAGCCATTGCACCAGGCCCTCCCTTTAGCTCCTGGTTTGTTCCCCGCCACCAGAGCAGGGAGGCAGGACCCCCTGTAGGATGAGGAGTGGTGGCCAGGAGTGGAAGTGCACAGTTTGGTCACAGAGCTATCACTTTGCCTGGAGGTAAGATACAGGCTTGGACACCACAAGCCAGTCTCAGAACCGCCTTGGCAGACTTGTAGGTAATCTGAGAAAGTGGTGCCAACAGGAGAACCATTGTCAAGCAGCAACCCTCAGTACACCTAGTCAGGAATGATTGTGAAATAAAAAGCAAACAGAGGGACGTTTGTCTCCATGTGTACCACTGTTATAATCATTCTTTGAAAGAAAGTTCAAAGTTACTCTTACTGTGCCTACCACTCAAAGGACAGCTGCGGTCTTCTAATAACTTAGGTAAAAAAGGAGAGAACTGTCTTGTAGTAAAACAAGAATAAACCAAATGAATGATAGGAAAAGCATAAACTAACCATTCCCTTCCTCAAGCAAACACACAAAACAAAACAGCAGTCCTTCCTTATAGCCAGTCATCTGAACGGAACAGGAATCTTGGCCACCCAGGCTTCCCTGGGATGGGTTGAGAGTAGAGAGAGGAGGGTACCATGCACACTCAAAGGAGGTTCAGAGGCTGTCTGCTGTGCCACTCGACCTCACTCAACCTGCCTTGGCGTACCTGTGAAATGGGTACAGGTGTCTGTTCTGCATACACTCAGCAGTTAGTCTCACTCAGAGCTGAGCAAGGCCTCGTGCTGAGGGGAGGAAAGAGGAGAGAATGAGGTGGGGAGAGGTGTGGTATGCATGGCCTCCATGCTGTCTGTGCCCACCTCCCTTCCCAGGCTTACCCAGCTGACCCCATCTGCCATGCATCACTGTAAGCCCACTATCCAACCAGGAGGGTACTCCGGAGGGCAGCCTCCCAGTTTCTGCATGAACACAGAGGAGCTGCACCTACCAGAGTGAGCTTCCACCAATGCCCAATGGCCCGGCCTGCGCATACTCACCACCATCTTATTGAGATGGCCGGCTCCATGCCCAATGAACTCCAGGTCTTCCTAAGTTTCCAGAAACAATGAACTAAAGTACAGCAAAATCTCCAAATTTCTCCCTGGAGCCCTTGACCTCCCAGCCATGTGGCAATGACTTCCTTCCCCCTCCAGGAGGACTTGTGGCCATTTTTCTCTTGGGAAGGGAGTGATGCTGAGCAAAGAGAGGGAAACCCCACACAAGGCCAGTGGAGAGCCAGAAGCATCCACACAGATGCTGGGAAGGGCGTCGGGGGCCTTCCTTGAGCCAGAGCTAGAGGCGCCACAGAAATTCTAAATAAGTATGACACAAGTTGTATGAATCAGGCGTTATCTGCCAGGGAATTTCCAAGGTTCTTCCTTTATGGGCTGAAAAAAAAATTAAATAAATAAATAACTCACACTCAAAGAACAAAGAGAGTGAAAGGGGTAAGGGCTAATTAGTTGCAAGTCATTGAAGAATTAAAGGCAAGAGGATTCCCCAGAACTATCAACCATGTGGCACCTCAAGTAGTTTTCTGCGAGCCATGGGAGTTACTCCTACTGGTGGGGGTTGTTTATGTCTAAGTCCCTGAGTCCCCTGCATCCATGTAAGAGACCCAGAAGAAGCTCCTGGCTCCTGGCTTCTGCCTAGTTTCTCCATAGCTGTTGCAGTCATTTGGGAAGTGAATCAGCAAATGGAAGATCTGTCTCTCCTTCTTTCCCTGTAACTTTACCTTTCAAATAAGTTTTAATAAAATATTTAAAAGAACTCAGAAACATCCCTGGCACAAAGAGGAAGCCCCTAAGGGCTAAGGAGGCAGAGAACTTTGGATAGCAGCTACTCTACCACAGCCCCATGCCTACCCACCACCTCAGGGAAGGTAGAGTGAGGGACCACCTTAATCTGCCAGTGATGAGACACTGAAGCCCTTGTGTTGTGGACGCTCCAAGGGAAGCCTAGTATGCCAACTCCACCCATTCAAAACACATCCGTTCCACCTGCCTCCCCGTATCCGTGCTGGGAGACATCAGGGAAAGCACTGTAGAGTCAGGACTTTGGCCAGGGCCCAGAGTGACAAGTGTACTACCCAGGGGTGTCAGTGAATGCTGGGTGAGCGGGCTCTGATGAGGAGCCTGCCTCAGTACCATTTATCTCACTAGAAACCAGAAATGGAAAAACGACACTCACCAACCCTGAGGTGGCAGGTGCAGCAGGCTTACCTGAAAGCTGTTGTAAAAGTGCTTCACAGAACCAAGATAAATTGGTCTTGCAAGGAAATCGAAGAGGAAAGAATAGGATGGAAATGTGGGAGTCAAAGGCTCCCTTGGTGGTGGGGAGGAACGAAGAAGCTGGAATCAGAAGATAATGGGGGCCTGGCATGGTGGCGCAGTAGTTAGGGTCCTTGCCTTGCATGCCTGGGATCCCATATGGGCGCCGGTTCTGGTCCCGGTGGCCCCTCTTCCCGTCCAGCTCCCTGCTTGTGGCCTGGGAAAGTAGTCGAGGATGGCCCGGGGCTTTGGGGCCCTGCACCCGCGCGGGAGACCCGGAAGAGGCTCCTGGCTTCGGATCGGCATAGCATCCATCGGCTGTTGCGCTCACTTGGGGAGTGAATCATCGGACAGAAGATCTTCCTCTCTGTCTCTCCTCTGTGTGTATCCGCCTTTCCAATAAAAAAAAAAAAAAGAAGATAATGGGACAGAAATTGCTCAGTCGGAGTAAGAGAAAGGGAAAATAGATGAACTTGTTGTGGCCCAAGCTTAGAGCTCTGTGGTCTGTGAGAGAAAAGACTTGCAAGATTTAATTCCCAACTCTCAGCTCTGATCCAGTCCAGCCCTGGCCACTGCAGGCATCTAGGGAGTAAACCAGCAGAGAGAAGCTCTCTGTCTCTCCCCTGAAATTAAAAAAAAAAATTCAATTTAAATAATAATAAAATCACAAATCAAAAGAAGAAAATTCTTCACCTTGTCTCCCAGAGGTAACCACAGTTAACATTTTAGTGTGTATCTGTCCAAATTTTTCAATGCATATAAATATCTACCTTGAAAAAAAAATGACACCATATGGGGACCTGGCACCATGATGTAGTATGCTAAACTTCTGCCTGCAATGCCAGCATCCCATATGGGTACCGATTTGAGTCCCAGCTATTCCGCTTTCCACAGGCTCCCTGCTTGTGGCCTGGGGAAGCAACAGAGGATGGCCTAACACCTTGGGACCATGCAGCCTGTACCTGCATGGGAGACCCAGAAGAAGCTTCTGGCTGCTGGCTTCAGATCAGCTCGGTTCTGACCATTGAAGCAGCCATTTTGAGAATGAACCAGCAAATGGAAGATCTCTCATTCTCTCTGTTACTCGCCTTTAAAATATAATATGTAATATATATATCCATACATATATGTTTTTATGTATACCATATATATAACGTGTGTGTGTGTGTACACTTCCAGGACCAAGAGAACACTCTTTTATCACATCTTTAATTACCCAGCATTCAGTTTTACTGCAATTAATATCTTTATGCCTAAATTCTTGCTAACCTCCTTAATGGGTTGGGTACCACAGGTAAAGTTGTGAGCTCCAGTGGTTTGTATGTTCACAGAGGTGGGCGTGGGGCCCCCACTCAGTTCCACCTGCGCAGGTCCTATCTCAAAATTAGTCAGGAACTGAGACACCAAAAATCAAGGCTCCAGCCTACGAGTTTTGCTTCTGTTGGCAGATTTGGTTAGCAGATTTAGGCTGCCCTTGCCTTGGCGCAGAAAGCAAACAAAAGCAGGTGTAAAACGGCTTGTGCAAAAAAAAAAAAAATTATAGTGAGTCATGAACAGGACAGCTCTGGTCTGCACCTGAACACAGGCATGGAGTGTCTGGGAAGGACCGATCCCTGTAGCAGGTGCTTCCCAAGGGTAACATGAGCAGCTGGGACAGGGAAAGAGCACTTGTTGCATACTCTGTTGGAGGTTTACAGTTTTGCTCCCTGTGTGTGCATGTGTGTGCACATGTGTCTGTGAGAGTACATGGCATGCACGTGCTAATAAACAGCTAAAGCACTGCTTCTAGGTGAAGGAGTCCCCAAACTGCTTACCTTGGCAAGGACATCTGCAGTAGAGTTGGGCACCAAGTATGCACAAGTATGCACAAAGGACACACAAGAGGACAAGGCTGATCTGTCCACCCCCCTGCCAGTGACCCCTATCTGTCTTTCTCCTTGTGTTACAGACGGCAGCAGAGGCCACCCGGTGCGAACAAACCCCAGCAACATGGTGAGCACCAGCCGGGCAGCACCAAACACAACAGGGATCACCAGAAATCCTACCAGGGGGGCTCGGCACCCCACGCGTCAGGGAGGCCCACGCACCACGGCTACAGCCAGAACCGGCGCTGGCATCACAACAACTCCAAGCACTCACCAGGAGACAAGGGGGAAGCAGGCACCCACCGCAATGCCAAAGACACCATGGCCCTGGAGAACCCCAGACTCGAGGACAGCCCGGGAGATGCAGAGCTTCCCCCCGGCCCGGATGGCCCCAGCCCAGCGGCCCCTGGTGGGCTGCCTGCGCAGCAGCCAGGGACACCAGAGGTGGAAAGCAAGCGGAAAGACAGTACTGTCCCTGAGCGCGTTGGGGAGCGGCCCAGAGTCAACCTGCTCCAGTCTTCCAAAGACAGGCTGCGGCGCAGGCTGAAGGAAAAGGCACCGGTAATTGCCTTTTTATTATTTCACTGCATCAGAGAGGTAGGCGCAGATGTGCATATATGCTTCTAAAACATTCTGTGCTCCTCACCTTCTGGTCTAGGGTAGACCTTTGGTTCTGGGGCTCAACCTGAGAGAGGATGGAAGGAAGAGGCCCAGGCCTGGGTGTGATGGGAGGGAGATGGGGAGCAGTTTCCAAGGTCAGAGGCTGGACTGTTGGTGCTCTAAGGTAGGGGCTAGGAAATCAGCAGGACACTGCCCTTCCCCAAGGTAAGTGTCGCCCAAGCTGTGATCCCTGCCAGATGACCAGTGCAGGTGAATTGGACATGGCAGGCAATGGAGCTGCAGCCCACCATCCCTACTTTCATCTCCCATAGCCAGCACATAAGGGGGCTGCTTTTGCAACATCACATAGCTGTATGGCCCGAAGCTAGGCTACAACTGTCCTGGCCCTGGGCTGGATCCTGGCCTCTAGAGCTTTGGGAGATGTTCCTAGGCTGCAGAAAAGGGATAGGCTCTTGTCACTGGCAGCCTTCAGTTTGATACTCACCACACAGGTGAGGTCACACAGGAGAGAAGCTCACCTGCCTGTAGCCATGTACACAGCAGGCATAGCCCATGGGGTCTTCCTGCCTGTGGCTTCTGCCCAGCTGCCTGCTCTGCTCTGGGATTTTCCTACAGCCCCCTCTGGCCCACAACCCAGGCAAGGGAAGGCAGGGAAGCCTTTCTCCCCATCAGCTGAAGCTGACAGCACCCCACATGGTCTGCACCCAAAATCCTCTGTGCCAGCACTATGAGGTCCTGCAGGAAACCCTCCCTATCACCCAAATGTGGGAAGATCTTCCTTCATGAGGATCAAGATGGGGCAGAAGCAACAGCCAGGATCTTAAGTAGCCTGGCAACCTTGGATAAGTCATCTGGCCTCTCTGAGCCCTAGTTTTCTCCTCTATAAAATGGACGAATGTCACACAGACAGGCTGTGCAAATGAGGTTGAACAAGGTATATGAAGATCCTCTCGTGTGCAAGGGGCTGGAACACAAAAGGCAGATCAGTGCCCCTTAAGTTTCCTTAAGGATTTCCCTCAGGTGGCACCTTTAGGTCTTTCGGATCAGAGAGACATGGTTTAGGCTCAGGATGGGTTATCCGCTAGCTGCTCCATTCCCCCCACCAAAAAAAAAAAAAAAAAAAAAAAAAGATGTGTAGAGATTGGTGCTATGACATTGTGACCTGGCGAGTAAGGCCACTGCCTGTGGAGTCAGCATCCCATATGGGCACCAGTTCGGGTTCCAGCTGCTCTACTTCTGATATAACTCCATGCTTATGTGCCTGTGAAAGCAGAGAATGGCCCAAGTGCTTTTGCCCCAAACCCATGTGGGAGACCCAGGAGAAGCACCTGGGACCTGGAGAAGCAGGCTTGGGAACTGTCCAACTCCAGCTATTAAAGCCATTTGGGGAGTGAACCAGCGGATGGAAGATCCTTGTCTGTCTGTTTCTCCTTAATTCTGCTTTCTATATAAATAAATAAATCTAAACAAATAAATAAAAATAAAATAAAAGAGGGGGAAGGCATGGGTAAACTCTGAGACTAGATAAATACCAGTCCTCAAAAGTTACTCCCTCAAAAGAGAGTAACTTCCATTGGTCCTTTAGTGAAACAGGCAAAGGAATAGGTGTCTCTGGGAGTGGGGAGTTGTGTCTAGTTGACCCCACGCCATGGGGCTCTGGCCGGGTACCAAGAGGATGAATTCCAGGGCCTCAAGGAAGAAAACCCCCGTTTCAACCCTTTGGACTTGCTGTATTAGCCAGCTTGTCTTTGCCTCGGCTGAAATGCTAACTGATAGAGGAAACCATAGTCCCCTGTGACTCTGCTGTCTGGTGGAGGTGGGAGGAAGTGGAAGCATTCCCATTGCAGACCAGGGAGCAGAGAACAGCTAAGTCCCCACGTGGACTGTATCACCTGTCTTCCTGCAAGAACTTCTGAGAGCAGGCCCCAGTCATGTGGACACCCCTGGGCCTGCTTCCTCCCCATCAGGGTTGGGCCAAAGCTCAACTTCATTCCTTAACTGTTGAACATGAACTGTTGGGACTCAAGCCTTCAGTCACAGCCTGCTGGGAGACCAATTGTCCTTGGAGCCCATCAACGCCCCCCCAGATGCCAGGACTTAAAGAAAGTTCTGGGTCTTCTCCCATAAGCTCATTCCTTGTGAGGAAATTGAGACACAGAGAGGGAGAATGCTTGCCCAGAGCCACACAGGTGGGGGCCAAGAGAAGGACCCAGAGCAACCCTGGTTAACAACAAGTGATGTGTGGCCCTAACCCTGCCCATCCCCATGGATCTCATCCCCCACACTGGCCGGTCACGTTCTTGGATACCTGTCCATTGTGTTGGAGTAGACACTCTCAGACTGTCAGAGGTCCCTGGCCTGATCCCAGTCACAAGGAAACCTGAGGCTGTAGGGTTCAACTGTTAGAAATGTTCCTCCTTGGAGCACCAGCCATCACAGGGGCACCCTGGAGGGTTGCATGCTGGGTGTAAGAGGCTGGTACAGCCCCCACAGGATGCAGAGAATGTCCATGTAGAGAATACAGCCATCCTTGGCATTGGGGGCTGAGGACACGAAGGACAGGTGCTGCTCCCCTGGCCACCTCATACCACCACAGTAACATCCTGCTTGCCTTCCTGGCCTCATCTTCCTACCCTTGTTTTCTCTCTGGCCCTGTTTCTTATGTGTGAGCTTATTTCATCTTTATAAGCCCTATTAAATCACTTCCAGAATGATCCATTTTATGGACACATGGGCAAACAGGACTAATGCCAAAGAATATCTTGGGTGGGAGCTAGACCCCTCCAGAATTATCTGCCCCTGGGGTGCCACAGGGGTCAGGAAAAGTCAGCCAGGAACCTTGGGGCAAGTCAGCATCCCCAGAAAGAGCAAGACCTCAGGCCTGGGAAGGTAGGATCAAGTCCTTCCCCCCACCTTGGGGGTAGGGGGAGCCGGTGAAGCCTTGGCCCCCAATTGGACACTCTACCTCTTTGTCCCTCCCTCCAGGACGAAGTTACGGTAGAGACGCCCTGCCCTCAGCCAAACAAGATGGACAAATTGATGGAGATCCTTAACAGCATGCGCAACAACAGTTGTGACGTGGACGCCAAGCTCACGTCCTTCATGGAGGAGGCCCAGAACTCAGCCAACTCGGAGGAGATGCTAGGAGAGATCGTGCGGACCATCTACCAGAAGGCCGTGTCCGATCGCAGCTTCGCCTTCACAGCCGCCAAGCTCTGCGACAAGATGGCACTCTTCATGGTGGAAGGGACCAAGTTCCGGAGCCTGCTCCTCAACATGCTACAGGTGACCGAGCACCTCCAAACTGGGAGGGGTGAGGGAGGGACTGGGGATGGGGTACCATCACAGAGGGATGTGACTGTGAGGCTAGCCATAGCTGGAACCAGCCCCCAGTTTCCCTTTTTCCACCTGATTAATTATAGAAAAGGGGAGGGCAGTGAGGGTGCAGGGCTCAGCAGCCGACATTGTGTGTGTATGTACTAGAGAGAGAGCTCCATGGTAACTGTGGACCAATATAATTTTATAGAGGTCTTTGAGTCAAGCAGTCTTTCCTTCTTTCTATTTTCACACAAAGGGGGTTGGCCCTTAGTCTGAATCTGGCTCCAAGCTTTTGACCTCGCGGTGTCTGAGCCACCATGAACTTGCTGTGGACTTTCCTTCTCCTCCTTTCCCCCGCCCTCTTCCTCCTGGCTCAGCCCCCCGGGTCTTGGTGTCTGTGCAGATGGTTGTAGCTGACACTGAGCTGGGTCTGAGCAAAGCCACAGAGCGGGGGCTGGGGCAGTCTACCACAACACAGAGGTCCTGGTCGATTTCAGCTGCCTTGCCCCTACTTGCTGCTCCCTCTGTATCCCTTCACTCCTAGCGCCCTAGGCAGCCCCTGCCTGCCCCCTCCTCTCTGGAACTCCTCAGCAAGCAGTGTTTTGATGTGTTGTATATGGGCAGCAGGTGTTGCTGCATGCTCTTGGACTGAGTCCAGAACTCCCTTGTCTCCCAAATACCTATTCTTCTGCTATGGGTGGCAATAGGTGAACTGACAACCACTGGGAGAGGTGGCAGTAGCACGCTGTGGCTTCTGTAGGCCCTGGGACTGTCTGGGCTGGGGACAGCCTACTCTCCTCCTATATATTCTGTTAAGACTTGTTCACACACAGATTGGGTTGCCAGCTGGGTTCCAGGGGAGTGGTAGAGGCAGGATGACAAAGCTGGCAGCGGCCCCCACCCTGAGGTCTGTGGGATCCAGAGTAAGTGTATGGCAAATCATCTGAATTGTCACCTGAACAGTGGCTCCCTGTATAGTGACGCTTGGAAGACAGGTGTCACCGAGGGCTTGTGGTGGTCCTCAGCTCACCCACCTGGTTCCTGGTTCTTTCCAAAGAATAGAAGGAGGTCGCCACGGCCCCTTTGCAGCCACCAGCCCGCTCCTCCTCCTCCTTCATATGAGCCCCCACACACTGCAACTCAAGCCTGCCTGGCAACTGGAGCTGCCTCCCTCTGGCTCCAGACCCTGATCGGGTTCCCATTCCTGGATCGCACACACTCCCCTGGTGACGAATTCCCGCATTACCTGAGGGATTTGCACGTCGGACGTGCTCCTGGCGGGCCGGAATGTCCTAGGAGTGTGGACAGTGACGGGCGGGGCAGAGGCCCAGCCACCGCATTGCTCTAAGCATGGGGGAGTCAGGGACAGCCCTGGCCTGTATCCTTGCTTGGCTTCAAGATTTCACTTCATCAGGGCCCAGGATGGGAGTGGGGATAGAGCAAGAATTTTAGATCACAGCTACCAGTCCTGGTTGGTGGACAGACTTTGGGGTTGGGAACAGCCTGGAAGGTCAGAATGCTATGGGGACTTTAAGCAGCCTCACTCATGGGTACCCCACCAGCCCCGAAGCATACTGGCTCAGGAAAGGTGCCGGGCCGGTGGACTGGGTTGGACTGAGTCACACCCCTGCCATGTGTCCCAACAGATAAGTTCCCCACAGGATCTGCGTACCGAGAGCCATTGCGTGGCCAATACCAGAGTAGGAGAAAGCACTAGAGTGAAAGCTGGAAAACAGAAGCTCAGGCCCAATTCCATCTCTGCCTTCAGCTGGTGCAAGACCTCTGCCAGTCCTCTCCCAGCAAAGGGACATGAACAACCCTGTATGAGTTACTTCCATTCTCACACTCCCCAGATGTATAAAATAGGCCTGGGTTCAACCTAGGCTAAGGAGGATAGGTCCCCAACAACTGGTCTGGCATGAGGAATTTGGGCTTTGGGGCAAGTCCCAGAGATCTAGCCTTATGGACAACATCTTATACCACTGGGGCAGAGAAGATCTGGGCTGGCCCTGTACCTCTCACCACACCATAAGGCAGAACCTGCTGCTGTTCTCGTCCCCCTCACACCCCCCCCCCCACACACACACCTCTGGGGAGGACAAATTTGCCCTGTCCCAGTCTGGATCACACTTCCCCTGCATCCCTGAACAGCCACCCCTTTGCCAGGGCAAGATGTTCTCCCGTGCCCCAGGAGGCGCGCTGTGATCCCCCCTCAGCGCCCCAGCCTCCTCCTGTCCAGCACCTGTCACTCTAGCCACAAACATTTAGTTGTCCAGCCAGCATCCACTGAGTATCCACTGTGTGCACAGGAAACAGACACAGCTTTGTCCTTCGGGGATTGGCAGCGAGGAGGGAATGGAACGTCAGTCTCTGACCACATGAACGCAGAGTGACAAACTGGGATGGCGCCTGCTGTCACCGTCCTCCCCCGCCAACTCCCACTCCACTGGGTGCTGCAAGGGCAGGAGCCCCTCTGTTTGGTGTCACTATAATCTAGTGTCTGCATAGTGCCTGGTACCACAGGGTCCTCAGGAATCTCAGATGGAAGGTGCTAGAAGCCATGCTATGCGCCTGGGGACAGCTGCAAGGGAGCCCCTAGAGGCACACAGGGCTCCATTCTCAGGTCCCAGATGGCTTTGACCCTCATCCCACCCCCAATGGCAGAAGGAGGTCCTTCACCAGGAGGGAGTGGTACATGCAGTCCCTGTAGACTGTCGCTCACTCACTTCACTGCTCACCCCAGCTTCCCTGTCAGCTGAGAGAAAGGGAGGAAGGCCTGGAGGGTATAGCCAGATGTCTCCTTCTAGGCTCCCATCCTCAGCTCAGTCCCTGTGGAGGCTGTGAGAGTATAGCCCAGCTCTGCTGCTACAAGGCTATTCCCACGCCCTGCAGATGCCCAGAGCAGGGCTCCCAGGCCTGCTCCAGGTCCCACTGGTCTTTCCTGCAGCCAAGTAGGCAGCAGGCTGGAGTACCACTCTCAAGACCATCTGCCTCATGGCCACCCCCCACCCAAAACCAGGGGGTCCAAGAGAAGACCACAGTGGACAGACCCAGCCAGCTGCATTCCCTCGCTGCACCACAGGGATCCTTGGTCGCCAGCTTCCATTTTCTGGTCAGCATCTTGTGTATCTCTTCCTGGTGGATGGGCCTGGGCCCTCCCTTGCCTTCTGAAGCTCCATCCACTTCCCTACCCCTCCACTCAAGGCCCGCCACATCCACCCCAGTCCCTGAGTCCCCAGTCAGCCCCTGATTCAGTTTGGCAGCCTCAGAGATGCCCCTCAGGTGGCCAGGTTTGGCTGCTGCCTACACAACCCATGTCCTGAGACATAGTTTAGCGATGCTGGCTGCATGGGTTCCCAGGTGTGAAGTGTCCAGGAGCAAGCTGCCAGCAGCTGTCTTTGGACGGTGCCATCCCTGACCAATGCTCTTGCTGCTCGGCCTTTGTGGTGGCTGCTGGCTGTGGGAGGGCAGAGGAGACTCTTCGATGTGCCTTCTCCCCCCTCCTCCCTATTTAAGCAGAGGACCTGGAGCTACCTGCCAAACTGGGGCCCCCAGGGGATGAGAAGCAGGGTGGAGGAGGTCATAAGTCTCTTTAGGCCTGTCCAAAAGGCTCAAGGAGCCCAGAGTCACCATTCTTATGAGCCAGAACGGGGGGGGGGGGGGGGTGGGGGGGGGGGGGGAGATAGGGACCCTTCCGATTCCCCTATTCCAGTCTCCGATTCTTATCTCCAAACTGGCTGCTGCTTTTTCTTTCCTTCTTTTTTCTTTTTCTTTTTGCCTTAGGTATGGCCTTTTCTTACCCATCTCCTTGCTTATCTAAATTTCTCTTTATCAGATGGTGGTTCCTAAGCTGAGCATATAGCCTTCACTTAGGGACCAATGCCTTCAGTCTAGGAGGGGCTAGGCTCCCAGGGGCTGCGGGAGTGGCCGATGACCGTGACACACTGCCCAAGGAAGAAGATGAGTTGGTAGCACAGGTAGTCTGTCATTAGTGTGGGTGCAGGTGTCCAGAAGGACCAGTCCTGGGGATTTCACACTTCAGACACCAGCTTGTCTTAGTCTACAGCATGGAGAGTCTGTGAACATAGTGGGGCAATGGGGGGTCCTCCCCTTAGGGTGACAGAATCCGATTCTCCAGGCACAGACCCTGGCAGCCTATTGAAAAAGACCTCCTCGGGCCCGGCGCAGTGGCGCAGTGGTTAAGGTCCTTGCCTTGCACACCTGGGATCCCATATGGGCGCCGGTTCTATCCCGGCAGCCCTGCTTCCCATCCAGCTCCCTGCCTGTGGCCCGGGAGAGCAGTCGAGGATGGCCCAAAGCTTTGGGACCCTGCACCCACGTGGGAGACCTGGAAGAGGATCCTGGCTTCAGATTGGCGTAGTATCGGCTGTTGCGCTCACTTGGGGAGTGAACCATCTGACGGAAGATCTTCCTCTCTGTCTCTCCTCTCTGTATATCCGCCTTTCCAATAAAAAAAAATATATATATATATATATATAATATTAAAAAAAAGAAAAAGACCTCCTCAGAAGCTCCTTTTCAATATTTATTATTATTATTGTTTTATGAGTATTATCATTTTAATCTGAGAGAGGAAGATCTTCCATCCACTGGCGCACTCTCCAAATGCCTGCAACAGCCAGGGAGGAGCCAGGCCAAGACCTAGAGAGCCAGGGACTCCATCCACTTGGGACAATAATGCAACTGCTTGAGCCATTACCTGCTGCCCTGTCTCTGGCGATTCTGAGGCCCAGCCAGGGCTGAGCCCCTCTGGTAGGGGGACACCTCAGACACCCTGGGTCTACCTCACCTTTGTCATTCACAGATGAGCTGGCTCTGAGTAACATGGTACCCCAGAGCTCGAGCTGCTGCTGGAACACAAAAGCAAGACAGCATAGCAGCCAGATCTACCCTTCCCCTCCCCTAGACTTGGGTTCTGCTTCTTCTCCATCATCCCAAGACTCCTC